AACCAACCTCCTCTGCTCAGCTCATTGAAACATTTATTCTATTTTATGGAATGAAGTGTTATGCGATTCTAGAGTCACAAATAAAGTCATTTAGGATCTTTAAACTGAATCTATTGTAATTTGCCTTTTGACAGTGGCACTAATCTGAGTAAGTGAATATTCATTTCTTTCTAGGAGTGTGTCTCTCAGTGGCACTAATGTAAGCTCAGGTGGAGAGAGGTGCCTGTGGATTTTACTCACCTGACACAAACAAGGGTTTAATAAGTATTTGTTGATTCCATGAATGACTGGCTGGTTGACTCCTAAACATGAAAGCAGAATTCGCTAAAGATGGGGTTTGGGGAGTTCATTAACATGAAAAAAAAAAGAAAGAACTGGAATTAATTGGAAATGTGAACTGGACTGGATGAAGAAAGTTTAAGAAAGAGGCAAAGGATTCTTCAGACAGCTGTAGTAAACCCTTGTTAAAGGAAAAATCTTACATAAATTAAATTTAGCAAAGTTTAATTGAGCAAAGAATGATTCGCGAATCAGCCATCCCCCAAAATCACAGCAGATTCAGAGAGACTGTGGTGCAGCCACCTGGTGGAAGATGATTTACACAGAAAAAGGAAAATGATGTAGAGAAAATGGAAGTGAGGGACAGAAATAGCTGGATTGGCTACAGCTCAAAGTCCATCTTATTTGAACTCGGTTTAAGCAGTTGGCCACTTTGGGTTGACTGAAATTCGGTGATTGGCACAAGAGGTTAGTCTATTACAATCTAGTTAAGTAACAATTCACTATGCAGGGAGACACCTATGCAGGGTTGAACTTAAAATATGTAAGGAGGCAGTTTTAGGTTAAACTTAAATGAACACCCTGTATGTTAGGCTAATGGTCCCCAGATAGGATTGTCCTCCTATCATCTAGAGGACAGTTCTGCCCAGAGGAAAGTAAAATTGGTACTTGAAAGGATTACCACTTAAAGTCAGAAGTGATCTGAGTGTAATTAGCAAAATTAAGTAATGCTCAAGTTTATTTTTAGTGGGAGATGCCATTTCAAAACACTAAAAAGAAAGATTTTACTAACTGGAAGGAACTTAGGGAGTTGCTTCAGGCATGTCCCTCCTTAAGATTTCTGAAAGGAGTAATAAACCACACCTTAGATAAAAAGGATTACACAATCTCCTTTGCTTCCTGTTTCACTGTCGGGAAGAAATCCTTTATTTGGAGGGGAGAGGGGGCAAGTGGGTTCAAGAGCTGCCTCCCTGCCCCCAGTCTTGGTCTCTACAGCTCAATTTTTTTTATGCTCTTGGGCAGAATTATGCTTGGAAAGCAGCCTCACGTCACAGCACCACTCTACCTAAAATTCCTCAGGACTCCTTCAGGTCAGCATAGCAGCCTCAACAGGTTGTCTGACCCTGGTCTGCCTCTCTGCCTCAACTTTGTCCCCCAGTTTCACCTACTCTCTAGGACACCCCTATGAACTTTCTGATTCTGGAACTGGTTCCTCTCCCTGGAACCCCTTTCCCCAACCATTGTGCCTAGTTAACTCTTTTTTTTTTTTTCTGTTTGACCTTGGATTAATGATTCTTTCCTTCCTTCTTCCTTCCTTCCTTCCTCCCTCCCTTTTCTTTTTAATTTTATGTTCAAGGAGTACATGTTCAGGTTTGTTACGTGAGTATATTGCATGATGGTGTGGTTTGGGCTGCTATTGACCTCATCATCCAAATTGTGAGCATGATACCCAATAGGTAGTTTTTCAACACTCACCCCTCTCCTTCCCCACTTTAGGAGTCCCTAGTGCCTGTTGTTTTTATCTTTGTGTTTTCTACCTAGCTAACTCTTATATGTTTTTTCAGGTAGCTGCTTAAATAATGTTCCTTTTTCCAGGAGGCCTTCCCCGACTCTGCCACCATGTGTGTGTGTGTGTGTGTGTGTGTGTGTGTGTACACATGTACACATATGTATATGCAAATACCTTTTGTTCTGTACCATTGAGACATCTTGCCCTTTATCCCTAAATACTTAAGGGTGGACTTCCTTAAGAATGTTTTCATATATATAACCACCATATAATTGTCAAAATAAGGAAATGTGACATTATTAACATACCATTACCTAATCTGCAGTTCACAGTCAAATTTCACCCATTGTCCAATAATGTCCTTGATACCTGTTTTATCTACTCCTAGTTCATACATTACACTTAGTTCCTCTGGTGTACAGCAGTTCCTTTGCCTTTTTTTTTCTTTGACCTTTACACTTGAAAAACACAAGCCTGTTATTTGGCAGAATAACCCCTATTTGGCAGAATAGCCCCCCAATTTGAAGTGTTTTAAATGATTCTGCCATTCAAGTGACTCATGTTTTTCTCAGTACACTGTATCAGGAGGCACAAGATGTCAACTTATCCCAATATTGGTGATATTTGCATTATAAACCAAGGCTTAGAAAGTGAGGGTTTCTTTATTTTTCATGTTTAATTCAAAGTTGTTTATCTAAATGTAACAAGGTAACTCCTTTGACAGTTGTAACTTCCATTTCCCCCCCATTAAGGAACTATACAATTTAAAGTCCTCATAGTTGTAAATCGCAAAAGTTACTCTAAAATGTCAACACGATTGATTAGGAGATCTTGAGTCATGCCCTTGTTAATTTGGCCTTAAGAGTGTGTGAAGGGTTATGGAGTACAAATTCTGAGTAAGTTATAATGTCGGGGAGCAAGTTTCTTTTGGGTGTATATACCAACTCGCTCCCTGATTCCATGGTATCAGATTAAACACCCTTTTCTCCCAACCCTCTTCCACTTGTCTCTGATTGACCCCAAGGGAGAGAGCAGCTGGTTTGTTAGGCCAGAATACCTGGTTTTGATCTTGGGTAAGGTAGTGTCAGCTAGATTTCCCCACTAAAAAGTGATTCTTTGTATTATTGTAATTAATAATATTGGGGGAGAATATTTTGAAATTCTGGAAATATTTAGTTCCTCATCAAACATTCATCCACTAAATTGGCATCCATAAATAATTTGCTTTATTTTTAAGGAAGCTTATTTTACATGGTTAAAAAAATAATGAAGGATATGCTTGTGATAAATGGACTTTTAAACTACCCCACCTAAAATAACTGCATTTCCCATATCAATCCAACCTCTTCATTTAAGAAGATCTTACCACCTAAATGTAAGAGAGATCTGATATGGATGGCATTAGCCAAGGCAAAATTTGTTATTTGCATTTTCAACTCTATTTGTAAATTATCTTTTTATTTCCCTTTTCTTTACAATAAAAAATTCATGAGGGAGCATTTCTTTTATCATGAAAAAGAAGACATACTGTATTATTTCTGACTTTCTAAATGTCATAATATTGCTTTTGGTCACATTATGATAGGCATCTGTAATTGCATTTATTTTTTTCACACTTGCTACAAGGGCTTACTTAGGCTCTGAAGAGCCTCCTGCAGCCTTAGGGTCTGTACATTGAAAATCAGTTGGATTGATTAAAGCCATGAGGAGAATTATGATGAGGGTCTGATCATATGGGCCTCAGGAAGGTAAAATATTACCATTTAAACTAGAAATGAAATTTTTTTTCCCTAAGTGATCATATTTACAATGACAGGCTAGTTTACTCATTGCAAGATTAATAATACCTGACATTCACTCATCCCCTTATTTAAAAGTATCCCGTGAGCCTACTAAATTTGGACCATTACATACAGCTTCTAACTTTACAGAGAGTATTTTTGAATAATATCCTTCTGGGTCTTTAAGCAAAAGTTGACCAAAAGGAACATTGAGAACTTACTTGTAGGTTCAAAAGAACTCAGAAACTGAAATATCCTAGACAAAGAAGCATTCCTTTGCCATCTAGGAAGAGCATCAGCTTAACCAAGTGCTCAGTTTCAGAGGCCACCAAATGGAGTGAAGAGAAAAGAAGGGATCCCTATCCACACCCCCAGACAACCAGATCAGAAAAAGCCAGCCGATGTTCACAGAACAACAGTAGCACAGTCTAGTCACCTCATGCCCAAATTACCTGTCTCTTCTCTGACTCTTATCACTCTTATTTGAGGTTCTGACCACAGATGAGTTTTTCTGAAATGTCATCAGTATCAGAAAAGAAGTTTCTTTCTTTGAGTCAAGGTCTCTCTCTGTCACCAGTCTGGAGTGCAGTGGCACCATCATGGCTCACCCCAGCCTCGGCCTCCTGGGCTCAGGCAATCCTTCCACCTCAGCCTCCCAAGTAGCTGGGATTATAGGCGCACACCACCACCCCCAGCTAATGTTTTGGGGTTTTTTTGGTAGAGATGAGGTCTCCCTATGTTGCCCAGGCTGTTCTCAAACTCCTGGGCTCAAGCAATCTTCCCACCTTGGTCTCCCAAAGTGCTGGGATTACAGGCATGAACCACCATGCCTGGCTGTAACAGAAATTTTAAAGTCAAAGAAAACCTAAAGAAAAAATACCTTTCTCTTTGTTTTTAGGCATGTCTCAGCATATTTTTATGTACTGTCAAATTTGTTCTCCCACAAATCTTGTGGAAAAAGTACAGTAAGAATACAGTAATAAATGTGGAAAAGTTTTCCACATTTCTTAGTGAGGAAACTGGAGATCCTCAGGGGAAAGAGACAGCTCCACATTGGGAATGAACCAGGGCTCAACTTCTGACCTCCAGGCTCATAGCCCACCTGGCTGTACTTTAGCTTTTCCCTGACAGCCCCAATTAGGCCACCAACACCTCCCACCCCATTTAAATGTTTCCCTGGTACGTATCACAGTGTTAGCAGTATGTTATTTATATGATTATGTGTTCAATGTCTCTCACCCTAGAACATATGGATTATAGGAACTGAACCTCCTTTCTCACATTGCATCCCACTGTCCATCCTGCATGGACAGTGGACCAGGGAACAGCCCCCCATATCACATGTTTCTCCTAACCACAGTGACTTCATGTGTTGACATGCCACAGATTTTTCCTGACCATAGCCACTTCATGTGTCTGTTTTCAGGCTGTAGCCTGGGGCTGGAAATGGCCCTCTCCGTGGACTCATCTTGGCACCAGTGGCAGTGGAGAGTCAGATATGGCCTCCCCCAGTCTCCATCGGAAGTCACGCCACTGCTCTTGCCAGAGAAGGGGAGGCGGAGTTACAACCTGCCACAGCAGCGGGTCGTGTTTCCCAACAACAGCTTATTCCACCAGGATTGGGAAAAGGTCTCCAGGAGATACCCTGGAAACAGAATCTGCACGACCAAGTATACCCTCTTCACCTTCCTGCCCCGGAATCTGTTTGAGCAGTTTCACAGGTACAGACCCACTTGTCCAAACAATACACTTTTAGCCAGGTATTTGCCGCTCTGATGAACTCAGAGGTGCCGCCCTCTGGGGCCACCTTTCTTTAATATCCAAAAGCATATACCTGAGGATGTTTTTGTTGTTCATTCATTAATTTAACAAATATTTACCAGGTTCTACTCTGAATCAGGCCATGTGTTGGATGCTAGAGATATATGAGAAAAAGAGAACTCAGAAACTAGAATATCCCAGACAAAGCATCTCAGAAACTGCTGAGAGAAAGAGAAAGTGAGAGAGAGAGACTGCCCTCCTTGAGTGTATTGTCTAGTGAAAGAGGCAAACATTAACTTTTAATTATGTAAATCGATGTAAAGTTATAGGTAGAATAAATACTTCCAAGAAGAAGTGTACGACACTGTTATAGTGACTAACAGGGAATTCTGACCCAGTTAAGGAAGTCAGAGAATTGAAAAAATAAAATCAGTCCATTAACTAAATGAAAAGAGGCAGACAGAAGTCAGGGAAGGGAATCAGGAGAATGTTTCTGCCAATAGGCCTGCATGTGCAAAGGTAGGTGAGAGCAAGATGCACTTGGAAAATCTGAAAGCATACACCAGACTTTTGAGATAATATATGAGATCACTTTTAAATAAAAATCAATATATGTGCTTATACATCATCCTAAATTTTGTATTTGCTATTGTAAACAACTGTTTACTGAACCCTCTACTGTGTACCTAACATATATTGTACCATACAGTATTTATAGGAACTCTCTAAAGTAGGTAGTACTATCCCCATTTCACACAAGAGGAAACAAGCTCAGGAGAGTCATCAACCTAATAAACAATAAGAACAGAATTGAAATTGGGATCGGTTTGACTTCAAAGCCCTTACCTACTGTTTGAGGTGACATTGAAAGAGAATGTCATTTTAGCTAATCAGGGCCAACAGTAGGAATGAAATAGGGGAGAGAGTCTATTTTTCTTCTTCATGGTTTTTACTCACACCGTATTTGCCCCTTCCAGATGGGCTAACCTCTATTTCCTGTTCCTGGTAATTCTAAACTGGGTGCCTTCCTTGGAGGTCTTTCACAAGGAAATCACCATGTTACCATTGGTCATTGTCCTGTTCATCATCATGGTCAAGGATGGCATGGAAGACTTCAAAAGACACCGCTTTGATAAAGCGATAAACTGTTCCAACATTCAAATATATGAAAGGTAAGAGAAACCAGCCCTCTGTGTTCTTTCTTGCAAATAAATATGCAAACTCACCAGCAAGACAGAAAGAGTGAAGTATTTTCTTACACTACATTTTCTTAAATTCGCTTAATTCAGTGATTCTCAAGTGGGGGTGAATTTGACCCCTAGTGGGCATTTGGTAATGTCTGAAGACATCATTTGGGGTTTTCTTACTAGAAGGGAGGGTACTACTCCATCTAGTGGGTAGAAGTCAGGGGTGCTACTCAATATCTTTCAATACACAGTGCAGCCTCCGCTGTAAAGAATTCTTGGCCAATCAAAGTGTCCATTGTGCTAAGATTGAGAGACCTTGTTTTAACTTGTGTAAGCACTCATATTATTAAGGACACGGATGTGATTGTATTTAGAGTGGGTCGAAAGCTCAAGAATTAGCATCTAGGATGACTGGATCACCTTGGGAGACTAAGTTCAGAAGAAACTCTTTGGGGGTGTCAAGCAATGTCTCCCAAATGAGCAAATATACGCCATTTTTAAAGCCTCTGAGTTTCTTGGGTGGGGTGGGGAAGAAAACAATTCTTGCTTTTAGAACTTAACCGGGTAGGTTTTAGGACCCAGAGTTGGTGCACCTGTTCTTGGCTGCCCAGAAGGGAAAAAGAAGACACCTGTGGGTGACGTTGACATTCCAACAGGTGGAGTCTCAGACAGGTAGAAGGAAGTGGCCTGGTGAATACACACCCTTTCTCTGAAGCTCCTTCCTCGTTGAATTTCTCCCATGCTGTTTACAAGTCCTGGTTTCCCTTTGAAAGAAGAGAGTAAAATTATCAGCAGAGAAGGCAAAGAAAAGATGAGAAATAAATTATGAGCATTAAAGAAACAAGATTGAGCAGAGATGAGAAAGGAAGGGAGAAAAAGGCAGAAAAGGAAAGAAGACAAGAAGCGAGTGGTCGTCCCCAACCTGCCCTTCGAAGGACAGTCTCACAAAGAGAACCCCAACAGACATCATCGTGGGAATCAAATTAAGACCAGCAAGTACACTGTATTGTCTTTCATCCCCAAGAACATCTTTGAGCAGCTACATCGGTTTGCCAATCTCTATTTTGTGGGCATTGTGATTCTGAATTTTGTCCCGGTGGTCAATGCTTTCCAGCCTGAGGTGAGCATGATACCAATCTGTATTATCCTGGCAGTCACTGCCATCAAGGATGCATGGGAAGATCTCCGGAGATACAAATCGGATAAAGTCATCAATAACCAAGAGTGCCTCATCTATAGCAGGTAACACAAAAAACTCCGGGGAGGGGGTTCTTGCTGGCCCCGCTTTGTTCTTTCTGAGGTCACTGCCACTGCAGCTGCATTTTATAAAGGGCTGGAGTAAGGCGATATCATTATTTTATCTTAGGGAAGCTGTTCAATCCTCTACAGTGGGGGTGGCAACCTAAAATCCAAAAACGAAGAGGATTGATTCAGTCTTTTAAAATTAGGAAGACCTTTACTATGTGGCATTTCCTTTGCTGTTTCAAATTTGTCCAACATTTAAGGGCTTTGAGTAAATTTTCATCTCTTCTCGGTGCAGTGTGACTATGAGCACATTCTAGCATGTTTGGGGACACTGGGAAGGAAGAGGCATCTTTGTTTTTAGGAGAGCAGAGGAGCATTGCGTTAGGAGATCCAGGACAGGAAACACACTGCTCCAAAACTTAGTAACTACGTGACCTGACCAAATGACAAAACTTCTCCAAGCCTCATTTTGTCATTCATAAAACTGGAACAATTCCTGGGGTGATCGTGAGAATTGCATGAGATAATCCTTAGAAAATGCTTAGCACTAGACTTGACGTACAGTAAAGGCTCAGTAAAAGCAAGCTGTGATTGCTTCACTTTTAGAATGTAAAACTCTTATTTTCTTCATCATTAAGCCTGTCCTTGAGAGTTCCCCCGATGTCTCAACCAAAGCAAACTGCACACCACCTGTCTAGTCACCTTATTTAACGTCATTTTTATATATGCTGTTGTTCCCCAAAGGTCCCACTGGGCAAACGACATACTGGGTAGTCAGGGTTGCACATGCTCTCACTCAGTAAGGGAAGAAGACAGAATATAGAGTGTGTCTTAACTTTACAACAAGCCACACAGCCCACAAAGAAGCAAGGAGTCAAGTCTGGGCTTAGAGAGACTCTGGTGACAAAAGAACATTTTCAGAGCTGGCAATTGGCAGCCTTAGATGACTGACTCTCTAGCAGGTTGGTGAGAAAGAGAACACCCATGCCTCTTAAGGAGCACCCTGGGTCTGTCTTATTGCCTCTGACTTTATCCATTCCAGTTCCATAGATGTTCCACAATAGCTCTGGTCCTTGTTAGAATGAAATGGGTTTGCTTTGAGGTGTGCACACCAGTCATTCAGGGACTGCTCACTTCTCAGGAGGGTGCTCTTCTCTGAGGAATGAAGGGTGACCAACTTGGAGCTGGCTGCCAAAAAGGTTTATGAGCCAAACTCCATTTGGAAGGTTGTGGCCAGGGGAAGCCTTACTGGGCAGACCCAACACAAGGACTTATCTGTCTCCAAAGAATCCCCTACAAGAAACTCCATGACTGTCCCTCAGCAGTTAATGAGCATCTGTCCTCGTTGCTTGGAAGGCCACAATTGCACATCTAGAAAAAGCAATCTGGAGGATTATTTTTTTTTCCAACCAGATCTAATTGTCTTGAACATTGTGAGCACACTGAACATCCAGAGTTGAGTTCCTTAACTTTGAGTAAAAAATTATAAAGAGAGGATGAAATAACTGCTGGGGTGCAATGCCTTTCTTTGAAGAGGCAGTTTTTGAGAAGATATTGTTTTTCTTTTAGCACCAATCCACCATTACCTTTTGCTTTCCACCTTTCTCTTTTGTTTTCCTCTTCTTTTTTTTTTTTTCATAGAAGAACACAGTGTCGATTGGGGAGGAATATGTGTGGGCCGCAATGAGCCTGGTCCTGTTCCCCTTGCTCAGCCAGAAGACCCCAAATAATGAGCCTGATCTTGGGAATAATGTCATGTGGATCAGACCACAGATTCACCTGTGCTGGGAGTTGACCGGACTGTTGTTCTGTTCTCAGAATAGCTTTCAGGGGGCAACAGAAAATCAAGGTGATGACAACCAAGAAAAAAGAGATGTTAGTCCACCAGCTCTCTGACAGGGAGAAACATAAAGAGTCTTCACGGCAGTATTTTCTCAAGTGTAGTCAGTGTACTAAGAGTGAAAAAGAAACAGTCTTTGAAAAAATGGCATCCATGGCCAGGAAATGTATGCTGGCCCTCCTGACCCACAGCCCAGGAAGGACTAAGGAAAGAGACACAATGAAGAAACCTGTTCACCTTTGAATAATTCAGTGCTGTTCCTAACTTACTGGTCCTCAGAAATATTTTTAGTACTAAGTTTGGGAAATTTTATTTTTTCAAGTGGCAAAAAAAAAAAATTGACTATGGGTTCATATAGGTAATTAAATAAAATGGACTAAATATAAAAAGAAAAGTAATATTGCTCATGTAGTGATAAACAGTAAATGTTTATCATCAGTGTTAGGATGCAACAGGGAATGGTAGGGACTGTGGCAAACTGGGGAAGCCATGCATTCATCCTAAGAGGCAGAGCTGGCCACTTAGCTTCTGCTAGTTGGTACCATGTAGAAATATAGGCCCAGTGTTGCCAGATTGTCTGAGTTTTATTAGGGCAACTAGAAATTAATATTTTTGTTTGAAATAACCTAATTTTTAACTAATTTTGCCACTGTTGGTAACCAGTATAATTTTTCAAACACTTCAGACCTTTAATTGACCTTAAGTTCTATTTTGCCTATCTGAAAATCTGCAAACTTTGCTTTACAATATCCTAGAAATATGGAGTCCCTGCAAAATAATACGGTTCTATTTGTTTACTTATTTATTTATTTATTTACTTTGAGATGGGGTCTCACTGTGTTGCCCAGTAGTCTCAAACTCCTTGGCTCAAGCCATCCTCCCTTCTCAGTCTCCTGAGTAGCTGGGATTATAGGCACACACCACCACTCCCAGACCTAGGTTCTTCTTTTGAGGTTCATCCTCAATAAGAGAATGACTTTGGGCAGAGAGGAAGTATGAACTTGAGGTGGGAATGCAGGTCTGCAAGTCAGAGGCCTGAACTCTAGATCTGTGAATCCAGATCTGTGACTCTTAAGAGCTTAGGAAAGTCACTTAAATCTCTGGATTTCAGTTTTCACTTTTGCAAACCTTGGGAGTCAGATGAGATCTTATCCTGTGAGATGCACTCAGAAAGAACAAAACCCACAGCTAAATAAATTTGCACATTAATATAATAAAGGTTCTGCAAGAACCCTCAGTAAGTAACCTAACCAATTTGGTTTCATGCAGCTGTGTCTGTTGAAATATTCTCTGTTGCAAGTAGTAGAAACCTTCATTCAAACAAGTTCAAACAACAAAAAGACCTTTGTTGGCTTAGGTCACTTCAAAAGTCCTGAAAAGGGAAGGTGACCAGCATGGTTCAATCAGCATTCTACATCCAGCTCTCAGCAGTCCTTTTCAGTCAGCCTCCAGCTCTGTGTCATCTTAACTCTCAGACAGATTTTCCTCATGGCAATAAAATAGCTGCAGCAGCTCCAGCCCTCACATCTACATGTAATCACTCACAAAGAGAGAAAGCAAAACACTTCTGGTAGCCTTCTTGCAAGGTCAAGGAAGCTTACTTCTTAGACCTTCCTCACAACTTAGTGGCTCCCAGTGGATCACATGCTCATCCCTGAACCAGTCCCTAGGAGCAGGAGGTGTGGTTATGCTAATTAGGTTATACCCAAGCCACAACCCCCACCGGCAGAGCCAGCCATGGAAGGAGTCAGCTTCCCTGAGAGCATATGGGCCATTCAGGGAAAATGTATAACCCAAATGGAAAAATGAAGTCATTTCCAGGAGAAGGCAGAAGCAGGTGTTGGAGTAGGCACATTCATGTCTTGACTGTTTGTCAATTGCTTACCATTTATTAACAGGA